GTTATATGGCTTAGACCTCCCCTCCCTCCCTTTCCTTTTCCTTAGGCTAACTTGAATGCATTCTAACTGCCATTACCAAAAGGGTCATGACAAATGCCTGTTTTCAACTTTGTGCCATAAATACCTCGGCCCCCATGTGAGCCCACAGTATTGTCTCAGCTTAGCCTGCCCACCCAGGTGAGTGGTACAGCGAACATTCTTGTCTAGAACCTACCTACCTTATGTCTCAGGCCTTAAGCACTTTGCCAAGTACCTGACTTGGTAATTTGGTACCAAGTCATTTAAATAAACATGTAAAATGGTTTACTGCTTTTTGGGAATATTTACACCTTATAAGAGAACTCAGTATCTTATATAATACCATATTTTAACATGCAAGAAAGATTAAATCTCAAAGTAAAGAAAGTGGGGTTATTATATTAGTATGTTCCTATAATTAGGTTTAAAAAGATGAGAAAAAGTTCATTTACTCACTTAAAAATACCTAAAGTTGCTTCCTTTGAGCCAGACAAGGAGCGAGCACACAATAGCAAGCAGGCCTGATTTCTGTCCTCAAGGAAAATATTTCTTTCCTATCAGGCAAGAGTGATAGGAATCAAATAAAACTACAATTAAACATAGAGTGAGGGTGAGGAGTTGTCTTTACCCTCACTCTAGGAAGAAGAGAATTCTTTCCAGAAGGAGAGGACGGCTTTTTTGAAAGTTCTCAAGTGGACAGATAGGTGATGTCTTCGAAGGACTAGACAGAAGCAGCGTGGCAGCAGACGAGGCTGCAGAGGTAGACGAGGGACCAGACCAAGCCAGGCCTTCGAAGTCACAGCGAGGGTGATTAAGTGTATGTTCTAAAAGGCCCGGTTATCACTGTGACTTCGAGATTCTTAGGTCTGGCTCTTGTTATAATGAATCACTGAGGCAGCGGGTCTGAAAACGAGATGCAGTTCTCTGGCTCCTACTCGGGTCCAGCGGAGTCATGGCTGCTGGGGTCGGGCCCTGGCTCCCATCATCTTTCGAGCACCCTCCAGGGTCTAACGGAGAGCTAGGCCTGGGAACCCCAGATGTGAACCGTAGAGGAGACGCACCTTAATAAGAGCGCCTGTGACACAGGCACTGGAGCTGGCTTTCCTGTGGGACTCAAGGTCACTGCCCCCAAAGCTAGTATATCAAGAACCACATTAATAGAAGCAAGCAGCCTACATGAGAGAGGGAGGTGTTCCGCTGCCCCCCAGGCAGACCCCGCACACCTGCGGAGTTGATTCACCTCTCAGCACCAAGTTTTATGAGGAAGTTCACAGAACTGAAACATTCCTGGAAGAAAGCAAAGCAGATGACGAAAGGAATCTAAGCCATAATGAGAAGAAATGACCTAATAGTTCCAGACATGTTTAAACTGTAAGACAAAATAATTTTAAACAGACTGTGTTAGACCCCCTGTTTTTAAGTAAATCAAAGGCTGTTACTTATTGAAATGGTAAATATGAAGGCCAACTGCGTACCAGTCCTGGACGGTGGGAATATGGCAGGAGATGAGGCAGACAAACATCCCTGTCCTTGTGGACTTTTGTTCTAGTTTAGAATGATACTTGGTCATCCACGTGCCCCTTAGATCAGAAGTTTTAACTGAACTTTATGATTAGCAGCTATAGAGTCTGTATGTGTTATAGGGAGATCTATTTCAGGGATTAATTTTAGAACATTAAAAGTAGAAATATCTGAAAAGCAAAGTTAACATCTGTGGGAAAATTCCAGTAGGTGTGGTCACCACAGAGGGTGCTCAGAATCCAAGGGCGAGAACTGAAAGGCGTGATAGGAAAGAGACCGATGAGTGATCCAGCCCCGTGAGCTCTAGAGGCCTTTGCAGAAATGAACACCAGATACTAGAGCATTAAATAATGGAAGCATTTCCATAGTTTCAGCATTTGCTATGTGCTATACACTTTGCTAAGTGCTTTATTATGCATTATGTCACATAAGGCTTAAAACACTCAACATCCAGATGTGGAAAATGAAATTGTATCCAGCCATAACTTTTGAAAATTAAAAACATTACTCCTACAAATATGAACTGAAATACATCAAAGATTTGATTTGATGCATTAATTGATGAGGGAGTAGGTATGATAGTAAGGCTGGTGCCTACGTCATTTGAGGAGCTTCTTGTTTTAGGTGCATCAGTAAATGAATGTTAGCACAGGCTGCTAGATTAGATACAAAACTGGTTAGTGTCTTACAGTGCAATACACCATTACATGTGGCATTATGTTTTTTTCTGCTGGAGAGAAATAATTTGTATCTTTAACAGACAGAAGTCTCCAAGGTAACATGTAGCTTTACTAACTTTGGCATCTTTATTCAGTAGTAAATTGAATTTTACTCTGAACAAAAGCACATTTCCCTTAAGTAATTCTTGAAATGGACTGTTAAAGCATTGCCCAGTGTGCCTTTAAATGAACATGCGAACCCTTTGGTATCATTTTCAAGTTTTGGATAATTTTTCTGAACATTAGAAGAGTTAAGTAACTTTTCAGGATTTTTCCAGCTAGTCAGTCATATTGAAGCTGGATCTCAAGCTGGGTCTCAAACATCCACACTGAATGAGCCACGTAGCAAGTATTTGGGGAGCCGCTGGGGCAGCGTCTGATGGATCACATCACCATTGTTCTGCCCTTCTATAAGCCTGGGCTGAGTTTTTCCAGTTGTATGTTTGTTTGCTTGTTTTAATTGATCACAGAGATCATTCTGTAAACCATTCAAAACTAATTGTTCTGCCTCTTTGGTCTCCCCCAAAGTAGCCGGGCACACTAAACATGATTAATAAGAAGTGAGTGGTTCTTTAAGCACTTGCTGGTTTTGACTCTGAGACGAAGGCTCTGGAATCTGGAACCCCAGATGGAAATATGATTCGTTAGAATTGGTAGCAGCTACCTTCTCAGTAAGATTTCTTCCTCTGCTTACAGGATGTTGCATTGTTGTTGTTGTTCATTTAGGACGTTGCAATGACCAAATGTGGGCATTGCAAATTGTTAATGGCCTCCGATTGTTAGAATGGTGACCTTGAGCTCCTAAGGTTTGGAGAGAGAGCTGAGTTCTCTGCAAGTGGCCCTTTGTTCTGCCTCCTGCCCTGGACTGCAGGTCAGATATCACTCTTTTCCCTCCCTGTGAGTTAGTCTTGAGGAAAGGCTTCGGTGTTAGGTTTAGGGAATGAATGAGAAGTGTAGCTGTGTGGTCAGCTCCATGTTCCCCTGAGGCATTAGGGCTCATGCCTGTGTCTAAGGTGATAGGCCCCTGTTATGTTAAGGGGGCAGAAAACCAGCCCATTCAATGGTTTATTCTAGAAGCTCAGACTAGGTGTAAGAGGGCAGCTTAGCTTTTAGGTAAAAGAAAGGGTCTGGTTTTTGCTCCATTAAAAGGAAACTAAACTGAAATTTATTTATAGGCACTTTAATAACTGCTTTATAAATGGATTATCTCTGCATATCCCCAACAATTCCATGAGTTAGATCCTATTATTGTCCCCATTTTGCAGACAAAGATACTAAGTTCAGAAGGCTAAGCAAGCTGACTAGAATTCACAGACGAAGCTAAAATTAAACCTAGGCCAATTATAAGCCTGCTCTTGTGAAGGTGACATGATACCTCCTCTCCCAAATGCTGTCAGGATAATGAAAGCACATAGAAAATTAGCCCCAATCCCATGTTCTGGCCTCAGCTCTGCCAGTAACTGTCTTTGCAACTCCAGGCGAGCCCTCGAATCTGGCAGGGCCTCCGATTTCTTCTGTAACATGAGGGTAGAAACAATTTGGGCTGGACGCTCCCTGGGGTTCCTTCCGGCTCTGAAGTTCTCTGATTCTGTAATTGCATTCTGACCTGAGAGTTGCACACGGTCTCTCTCTCTCTCTCTCTCTCTCTCTCTCTCTCTCTCTCTCTCTCTCTCTCTCTCTGTCTCTGCTTCCCAAGGCAAAAATCTAATCCTGCTGCAAGTGCCCATTGCAACTGGATGCTAGACTCAAGCCCCCACCAAGCCCTATTAACTACAACACCCCCTTGGGAACACACAGCACTGTGACAAGCCAGCAAGCCAGTCCTTTAAAATAAGTTGCTAATGGGGTATAATATTAGGAAGTAAAATGTTAATACCAAAAACCCCCCCTCAAAACAGAGGAGGCTCTCTCTTTAAATCATCTCTTTTCTACAGTGTTACCTTGACAACTTAGCTTTGGCTCTTAAGGTACTGGGTTTCGGTGTGGGAAAAGGAGAGGGGTGTCCTCTTCGTATCTTTATAGCTTTCCTCTTGTTCCACGGAAAAGAGAAATGTCAAAGGTAGACCACAAACCCCAGCAGAATGTACACGGGACATCCCGATGGAGCGTCGTCCAGAAATAATCACAGGTGCACTGAATGAGGGCACGTTCTGATTAAAGGTGCATCGTCTCACCTGTTTCCTATAACCATAACACGCGTTGCCAGAGCCTGTAAAATGTTCCGTGGTTGGACCCGCACAGCTATGGAGCGGAGAGCAACAAAAGTGCCTAAGAGATAATTGCACTACTTTTAGTTGCCGCAGTCATGGATGCACGCACATCAGGACGAAGGCACCGCTCTGAAGTCCTGAACCAGTCTGGAAATGCTAAAAATACTGTTCCCCCTCCAGCAACTGGGATGCTGGGTGAAGACTGAGGCGACGCAGGTAAGGAGATCAAATTAGAATTCACATCCTCAGCTGTAATAGGTTTGTTATCAGGGCAGGGGAGAGCTGGGCTGGGGGGCTCCCAGGAGCCAGCCAGGAATGTGGACCGGAGCAGCAAGTTAAAAGGGGGCAATCTTGAGCAGAAGAAAGAGAAGGCTTATCCCCAGCATCTAGCACCACAGCGCAGAGCCCGTGTGGAGAATGGCTGCGAAATCCGAATTGGTTCTAGAGGCCGTTTCCTTTGTGGTCGTGAATGGGAGCCCGGCAGGCGCCGTGGGTGCTGTGGCAGGGGAGCGGGTCCGTGCTCGCACATGTGTTTCCCATTGATAGCTGGAGACAGCCCAGTAGCTCCGAGCTGGCCTGACAAAGCCGTATTGAAGCACAGAGAGAGTACGGTTTCAAAGCAGTCAGACAGAGAACGGGAATGCTGTTCAGGAAATTCTTCAGGCATGGGCAGGGACTTGGCTGCAGTTCCACTTTTGGAAAATCTGACTGGGGCGGCTTCTGAGCGCAGGCTGGGCCTGCTCACGCTGCTCGGCCCGAGGCCGCCTCCTTCCCGGCCTCTCAGCACACTCCCGGACCGAGGCTGGTTTCATCGGCTGCCTGGGGAAGCGACGAGAGGTAGGGGCTGTGGCGTTCTTCTGTTTCCACGCGTCCCTTCACTTTCTAAGCCGCCGTTTGCTTGCATGAACTCTGAGTTTCCGGGGTGGGGTGCGTGTGCATGTGTGTGTGAGTGTTTATAGGTCAGAACTCCATCACTCAAACATTTGGTGTGTACTTGTAATCTCTCTGTCTCCCATTCCCTTCAAGATCTGACTTTCACAGGGCGGAGATACTTTGGAAAGCTAGGATTTAGCTGGCAGCACAATTTGAAAAAAAGTAGGTGAGTTCATGTGTTGTCACTGGCTCCAACCTTCTGGAACTTTTCTGTGAGGAAGGACAATTCATTGGCAAGAAAGATCATTTTAAGTGAAACTGTCTGTGTTCTTTGCTTCAGGAGAGTTTTGAGAGGAGTGTGTGCAACAGAAAATGGCTCTTGTTTTGGGAGAGAATTAGTTTGAAGTTTCTAGTCTGGACGACACTTTCTACCTGTAGGAGCAGATGTGTGTGTATCAGTTCCTGGCACCTTTTATTGTTCTGTGATATTATGATGGTCCTTCAAGGAGCCCAGTGACATATTTGTATAGAAATATGCTGGATCAACATTTGTAATTCTGTTTCTGTAATTAAAAGTTTTTCTGAGTTGAAGAAATAACTGGCTGCTATACTCTCAAAAACATGAAATATAGATGACTAAAGAGTAATAGAAAACAGTAATTTACTCAAAGTCACTGTTAAAAGATAGAGACATAATGGCGTGAATGTTATTTTATTGATTGATTGATTTGATTTTACACCTTACTGAAGAGTGCATTTTTCAAAAAGCAAATTTTAAATAATCTTTCTCACACATATCAGCTGTAATGCAACATAGATTTTTCCTCCCCATAGGAAAGCTATACCTCTGTTTCTGCTTAGTGATTATAAAATACACAAAATATTGCAATTACATTTAAGAAACCGGGTTAGCTCAGAGAGGGGTGAACTAAATATCACTACAACTTTGTGATTTCTGGCAGAGCAACCGGTGACAGCAATGGTGTTTTCCACGGGGGTTTGGCTAAGAGTCCAGTTGAGGAAATAGATGAATGAGTAGATTCTTGGATACTTCTTGAATAGCAGCAGAGTGGTAGCTAGCCCCGTTAGGGCGGACTGCTATAAAAACAGGTGTGTATTTACTTTGGTTCTAAACTCTCTCAACAAGTAGCTGATGGTGGAGAGTAAGATTAATGGGTGAACGAAGTGTGGGGGCTATACTTTTCCCCATCTGTCTCTGTGTACAGGCTGGGAGGAGTGGACAGACACCGTGTCCTACTGGTGGAATTTGGTTTCTAGCCAGCAGTTCTGTGTTCTCCACAGTTTTGTACTTGGAGTAGGGAATGAGGCAACAGGATTTCTTGTTCTTCGTCACCCTCCTGCTTGTGGTGTTGGGCAGGGATGGGGAGTCTCTGAACCTGGGACACAGGACAAGGAGGGGATGCAGTGGGACGTCAGGGCTGACAGTGACTGCACTGTGTGTGTTTCTCCGGTGCCTCCTGAGTGAGCAAATGCCAAGACAGATTAGGAGGCGACACGCACCGTAGCCCAGCCCACTGCCGGTGAAAAAGGAGCCTCCACTGAGCTCTAATGTCATCCTCTTCTAAATTTAGTCCGCGTCAAGGGCTCAGCAGAACAGGCGTGAAATAGCAACTCCGGGCTGCAGGATTACGAGCAGCAGTGCCTGAAACTTGGAAGAAACTCTGTAGCTTCCCTCTGCTAGAAGTATAGGAGGGAAGGAAATCCAGCTCCCCTGACCTCCGAAAAGAAATAAACAGGGCAGAGGGCAGAGAAGAAATCCAGGGCAGAGGGGCGGGCGACAAGGAGAGAGGAGTGACCACAGCCTGGCCTTGGCCACGAGACAGGCGGAGGCGTCTGTGCCCAGGGACCAAACACATTCGGGAAATGGCGAGAAGCCTCGGGCGCTGATTTGCTTGACTTGAAGTGTGTGAATCAGCCACGGCCCCCATGGGGAAAATTGTTTTGCCCTCTTCACAACAGGAGACCCCATGGGCAGTCTGCCCTGCCTTGCCTTCTGGAAGCAATCAGAGAGCACATTTTGTGAGACTGGCATCGTCCGAGGGTTCAGATTTCCTAAGCAAGGCGGGGCCAGGCTCCCCAGGCCTTATTTTTAACCCATGTGTGTTCTATCAGTGATGTTCCTACTGGGGTGTTGAGTGAAGGGACCAGCTGGAGGCAGGTGAACGGTTGCAGTGGTCAGAGCTCGCTCAGGGAGCCACTCCTGGGGACATTAGTGCCCAGGCTGACTCCCGAAAGGAAATACAGAACGTATGTGCCTTATTGTGGGGGCGACTTTGCCCTCAAGTCCCCCGTCCACAACGGGTGAAAGTAAACACTACCAAGACATGATTTGCTTGGGGAGGAGAGGTGGCCAGTTTCTCAGTGGAAAAAGGCCAGGAGCCCCTTCCTCCAGGAGCTTTTATTGGGTTGTAATACACAGGAATACAAGGTGGCAAGGATCAAACAGGAGAGAACATTTCAAAGAAATCTGAGGGCTTGGTCTGCATCAATGTCTGTCAGGAAAGGGGGTTGCAGAAACTTTGGGAGACATACTCATTTCCTGCTTGGACACTTAACATATGAATGAAAATACTCTGAGCAAAGCAGGTTGCGCAGGACTTTTAGGAATTCTTTCTTATGCCAGATTTACCCCAGATACTACTCTAGCAAGGCAAGGAGCTGCACCGCCTTCCCATCACAGGTTTTCAGGCTTAAGTGGATTAGAGTCAGGAAGCGCTTCTCCCGGAGAACATGGGGACTTGGGCTATGTCACATAGCTGGGGGGCAAGTGTCCATTGCTCCCTCTTGGTCACAGCCCCCCGAGTCCTTCCACAATGGCCTCCCACGTGGTCAAGTCTGGCTTAAGTTGCCCCTCTCTCTGTGAGGGGTCTTACCTGTCATTGACTTCCGACCATGCCTTGGGAGCAGGGAGAGGAAGCTGAGGCAGCGTTTGCTACCAGAGACAAGCCTTGTCTCCTGTGGCTCGCATTCCAGAGGTCGCTCACTCAGCCTTAGCCATGGGGGGCAGTTACAATTCCTGAAACCAGGCAGAGCAGTTCCCAACACCTTATTTTTAATGCATTTCTTTAACCTTAATTTCATTTTCAAAACCACCTCAAAGGGCCTATACAACAGTGTCAGTGAAAGTGTACTGTATTTGTTTCATCAGATAAGGAAGTTCCTGGAGTCATGGATTTCATCATCTGGAAGGGGTTTGGCTACCAAGTGGTTCAGAATTTCTTGAATTTGAGTGATATAGCAACCCCTTTTTAACAGGACTGGAAAAAAGATCTCTTCCTCCATTGTTGATTTAATTTTTTTTCATGATATTGTTATTTAAATATGTACAAACCCCAAATACCCACCTGGATATTATCTCTCGAAATAGAAATATTTACCTGTTTTAATCATTGTTGAACAGCTATAATATGAAAACAAATTTATGAATTAAATACAGAGAAAGCTATGTAATGTAATATTCAGATTATCAAAATGGGTGCCTTTCGCAGAGAATTTTACTGAAATTTAACGAGGCTGGCATCACAAGCAGGAGACCAGCAGCTGTCTAGAGACTGTAGATTTCAGTGCATTCAGGTTTCTGCATCCTGGGCAGATTCTTGATTCCTCCATAACTTTTTCTCTTCACGTCTCCTTTCACGTGCACACCCTGGTGGCCTCTGACCTGCACCTGCAGGGACCGTGCCATGTGGGGTTCTGTCACACTCGGCACCTCCCTCATTGGTCACGGCAGCATGGACCTGCTCGTCACCAACATGATCCTACAGCAAATACAAACTCAGACACCAACCCTGCACAGTGGGAGCCATGGGCTATGAATCAGATTGCCATCTTCTAGATCAGAATTTGCATAAACAAAATAAGCAGGTAAAAAGCAAAGAAAAACAGACACAAGAACAAATGTTGTCGAGAACTCTCAGATCCCTGAGGAGATCTGAGGATCCCTGGTGACTAGAGGTCTCAACCTTAAAAGATGCTGACACGGGCCACTGCCGGGCACTCCAGGGTAGGAGCCGAAGTTAAACAGTTTCTCCAAGGATCGGAACTTCCTTTCTGCTCCACCATCCTCAGCTCTTCATGCTCATCCCTATGTGCCACATTTAAGTCAGGACAATGGTGGCAGGACGTGAAGGTGATAAGTATTTCTCCTCATGAGCTTTTCCCCATTTAGTCACAGAGGGCTCACCACCCCAACCCTGCGTAGACTTTGCCTAGTGTCTCAGGACGCACGGCACAAACTGGTCACAGGCCTGCTGGCCCCGTGGAATGACGTTACCAGGATAGTGCGAGGGAGGTTTCGCCCTCTAGGTGTGAGCAGGAGCCCGCACATTGAGATCAAGGGCTTTCGGCCTCATAATGAGCACAGCAGTGACCAGCAGGGAGGATGTCTGGGGATCGGCAGGATAGCTTTGGCCACAGATGCTTAATGAAAAAAAGTGAATAAGGAAATCCATATTCTCCTGTATGTTTTTCAGCTTTGTTAGGTATTATTGATAAATTGTGGAATTCACCCGTAAGAATATCATGCTTTTTTAGTACGTTTATACAGTGGTGCAGTGGGCAGTTTTAGAACACATGAGCTCAGTGAGTTTCCTGTGCCCACTGAGTCAGCTCTTGGTCACACTCCCAGTCTCAGGTAACCACTGATCTGCCTCCTGACTCCACAGGTTTTCCCATTCTAGCCATTGTGTGAAGGAGACATTACAAGTTCAGAATGTGGTTTGTCGTGAGGGTTCTGAGTACTCTGGAAAACAATATGTCTCTTCCATTTTCAAGTGGACACTGCTCCTCACTGGTGTGGCTCAGTGGATTGACCATTGTCCTGCAAACCGAAAGGTCACCAGTTCAATTCCCATTCAGGGCACATGCTTGGGTTGCAGGCCAGGTCTCCGGTTGGGGGCAGGCAACTGATCGGTGTTTCCCTAGCACATTGATGTTCCCTTCTT